TTTTTTTTTTTGAGACGGAGTTTCACTCATGTTACCCAGGCTGGAGTGCAATGGCGTGATCTCGGCTCACTGCAACCTCCGCCTCCTGGGTTCAGGCAATTCTCCTGCCTCAGCCTCCTGAGTAGCCGGGATTACAGGCATGCACCACCATGCCCAGCTAATTTTTTGTATTTTTTTGGTAGAGACGGGTTTTCACCATGTTGACCAGGATGGTCTCGATCTCTTGACCTCGTGATCCACCCGCCTCGGCCTCCCAAAGTGCTGGGATTACAGGCTTGAGCCACCGCGCCCGGCTGTTTTAATTTTTAAATTTATTTTCTTTTTTTCTTTTTCATAAGACATGACTTAAAAAAGTTTATTCAATCTATAGATCACATTGAATAATATGGCACTTTAACAGTATTTATTCTTTCAATTCATAGATATAAAATGTTTTTAAATTTATGTCCTTTCTAATTTCTTTCATTGATATATCTTTGTAAAGATTTTTTACATCCTTGGATAAATTTGTTTTCAGAAATTTATTATTTTAGTGCTATTGTAAATAAGATTGCGTTTTTTTTCTATTTTATCAGTTTGTTTTAATGTATGGAACCATAACTTGTATGTTAATTTTATGTTTTGCTAATTTACTGAATGCATTTATTAATTTAGACAGGTTTTAATGTTCTGTTTATGGCTTTTTTTTGTTCGTTTTTTTATTTATTTTTTTCTTTTGAGACAGAGTCTGGCTCTGTCACCCAGACTGGAGTACAGTGGTGCAATCTTGGATCAATGCCATCTCTACATTCTAAGTTCAACTAATTCTCCTACCTCAGCCTCCTGAATAGCTGGGATTACAGGCGTGTACCATCATGCCTGGCTAATTTTTGTATTTTTAGTAGAGACAGGGTTTCACCATGTTGGCCAGGGTGATTTCAAACTCCTGACCTCAAATGATCCACCCGCCTCAGCCTCCCAAAGTTCTGGGATTACAGGTGTGAGTTATTGCGCCCAGCCCTGTTTGTGGTTTTTAAAATGTAAGATTATATGATCTATAAACAGCAACTTTTTACTTTTTTGTCTTCTTCTTTTTTTTTTTTTTTTTTTTTTTTGAGATTGAGTCTTGCTCTGTCACCCACGCTGGAGTGCAGTGGCGTGATCTCAGCTTACTGCAACCTCCATCTTTCAGGTTCAAGCGTTTCTCCTGCCTCTGCCTCCCAAATAGCTGGGATTCCCTGCTAATTTTTGTGTTTTCAGTAGAGGCAGGATTTCACTATCTTGGCCAGACTGGTCTTGAACTCCTGACCTCGTGATCCACCCACCTTGGTCTCCCAAAGTGCTGGAATTACAGGCGTGAGCCACCACACCTGGCTGTCTTCAGTTTCAATGACTTTTTTTTTTCTTCTTCTACTTCTGCCATATGCTTTCAATACAGTGTTAAAATAGAAGCATTGACAATGGGCACAATATAGTTTGGCATTGGTGTCTGTAAATATGAAGAAGCAAACCTCTTCAAGTTTTATAAACTGGTTTCTGGAGATAAAGATCTTTGGTTGAGTCCCAGGGTGATGGGATGTCCTCTGAATTTGTAGTGAAGTGGAGTTTTGGCTTGGTCACAAGGCTGCTGGGCGTTCACTAGGGTCCGCCTTTAGTTGGCTTGTTACAGAGGCTTGGGTTGTAATTCCCATTTTATTTTTGGACAGACTGAATATCCTTTAGGATTTTGCACTGTAGGGCAGATGCTAGGATAGGTTTGTTGTTGTTGTTGTTGTTGTTGTTGTTTTTTGAGATGGAGTTTCGCTCTTGTTACCCAGGCTGGAGTGCAATGGCGCGATCTCGGCTCACCGCAACCTCCGCCTCCTGGGTTCAGGCAATTCTCCTGCCCCAGCCTCCTGAGTCGCTGGGATTACAGGCACGCGCCACCATGCCCAGCTAATTTTTTGTATTTTTAGTAGAGACGGGGTTTCACCATGTTGACCAGGATGGTCTCGATCTCTTGACCTCGTGATCCACCCGCCTTGGCCTCCCAAAGTGCTGGGATTACAGGCTTGAGCCACCGCAACCGGCCGTTGTTGTTGTTTTGAAACAGAGTTTCGCTCTTGTTACCCAGGCTGCAGTGCAATGGCGCGATCTCGGCTCACCGCAACCTCCGCCTGCTGGGTTCAGGCAATTCTCCTGCCTCAGCGTCCTGAGTAGCTGGGATTATAGGCATGCACCACCATGCCCGGCTAATTTTGTGTTTTTATTAGAGTCAGGGTTTCTCCATGTTGGTCAGGTTGGTCTTGAACTCCCGACCTCAGGTGATCTACCCACCTCAGCCTCCCAAAGTGCTGGGATTACAGATGTGAGCCACCATGACTTTGCAGTCGGGTCTGCAGATGGTGGGCCTTATATTGGGATGTGGATGAGTATGGCTTTCACTGAGTACCAGGGAGCATTTTTTTGGATCATTGTGTGAATATCTATGTAAGCAGAACTGGCCATGAACTGTGGCTCAGAGAGCGGGAACAAAGTTATTGAACTCCTTCAGAGACCACATAAAGGCCAAGGTCTGCAGGCCTGCCTGCATGGCTATAAATGAGTGTCTTCCTCCAGGTTTCTGGAAGAATAGGACCTCTCCCAGAGTATGGCTGGAAGATGTTTGGGATGATTACAGAGTAAGCAGAATTCTCAGTGGGACCAAATCAGGTGAGCCATTTTCTGGTCTGTAGCCAAGAACAGGGGTCTTGTAGTGTGCTACCTGAATGAGGGTCTGCCTTCTGAAAAGAAACACTCCTCAATCTTGAGCGTTAGCAGTTTCACAGCTCCCTCCCTGGATCGCAAAGCTCTGTGAAAGGTATTCATTTTGGAGATGGAATCTTGCTACATAACCCAGTCTGGGCTCAAAATCCTGGCCTGAAGCAGTTCTCCAATCTCAATGTACCATGTAGCTGTCATTACAGGTTCGAGCCATGAGGCCTGATTCTCATAAAGGCATTTTTGTCAGGGATGGCTGACAAATTTTCTTGCTGTGGAGGGATAAGGAAATAGGGTAACTTATTTCTCCATCTTACTGATGTCACTCTCCCTATATGCTTTTACTTTTTATTTTCTATTTCAAATTTGTCTGTAATTTTAGATTCAGACATTTATGACAACATGGCAGAATGTATGTTTTGTTTGAAGTGGATTAGATAGTTAGTAGGCCCTCCACATTTACTAAAATAGTTACTTATAAATTTGTTTTTGGAAGGCAAAGAATTATAGTGTTTGCATTCACTTTCTTTAGCCTATATCTAAATAATAGCATACTTTATTTCTAAATATTTATTATATATATCAGAGGGTCTAACCCTAGTTTGTGCACGTGTGTGTGTGTGTGTGTGTGTGTAAGGCTATTCTTTGCTTCTAAAGTTGGATTACAGCAGTTTCATTTTGTGTAAGAATAGCACATACTTGAAACACAATATTAACTCTAGTTTCTTTTAAATGCGTATTTATTAAAAAGTTTCTCATTAGAATCTTCTATTTACGAATATACTGCATTTTCTCTGAAATTTTGCTGTTATACAGTTTATGCCAATGACTCAATGCCTTCCATGAGTATGCAGTTACAGTCAAATATTGTAGTTACCTGGACAAATTTTTTTTAATGGTGCATTAATATTGCATACCAGATTTTATGAGTAAGCATTTGTTACTGTTTTGCAGTTCTATATTAGTGTGTTTCTTCAGTGTAGGCTTCCTAGCATCAGTTTATTTGTTTTTTGGTTTTACTTATATAATTTTAGACAATTTACAATTCTGTTTGTACACTTTAAGCCAATGTGGGGTTTAATTAAGAGATAAATTAGCCATACGTCTATCACCATCAGATTATATATCTGTGTATGTTTACCTATAAATATAACCACAATTTTGGTTATAGCTTATATGTATTTTTTCATAGCTGATTTTAAGTGGTAGTTTATTTTGTCTAAGTGAGTAGTCATGGAATAGTCTTATTTTCACCATGTGATTAATGATGAATATATATCTCCTTTGTGTAGGAGAAACACTTTTGTGATTTGAAGGTAATGTTTGAGAAGGTTTATACTTCTGTAATTTTTGTTTTTATTTAAAAAACTTTATTGTTGTAAAAACACATAAAATTTACCGTCTTAAATCTATTGAGGTGTACATTTTATGCCCAGGCATGGTGGTGGCTCACATTTGTAATTCTTGGATTTTGGGAGGCTAAGACAGGAGAATCTCTTGAGCCCAAAATGTTGAGACCAGCTTGGGAAAGATATAAAGATTTTCTCTTTACCAAAAAATGTTAAAAATAGCCAGGCATGGTGGTGTGCACCTGTCGTCCCAGCTACTTGGCAGATTGAGCGGGGAGGATTATTTGAGACTAAGAGTTTGAGACTAAAGTGAAACATATTCGTGCCACTGCATTCCAGCTTGGGTGACAGAGTGAGACCTTGTCTGAAAAAAAGCTGTACGTTTCAGACCTGTTAAGTATATTCACATTGTTATGCAAAAGACTTCTAGAATTTTAACATCTTGTGAAATTAAAACTCAATACCCGTTTTACCCGCTGTGCAGCCCTTGACAAACACACCCTTCTACTTTCTTTTCTTTTTTTTTTTTTTTTTGAGATGGAGTTTCGTTCTTGTCACCCATGCCATGCTGGAGTGCAAATGGCACGATCTTGGCACACTGCAACCTCTGCCTCCCAGGTTCAAGCGATTCTCCTGCCTCAGCCTCCCAAGTAGCTGGGATTACAGGCGCCACCACCATGCCCAGCTAATTTTTAAAATTTTTCTTAGAGACAGGGTTTCACCATGTTGGCCAGGCTAGTCTTGAACTACTGACCTCAGGTGACCCAACCATCGTGGCCTCCCAAAGTGCTAGGATTACAGGCATGAGCCATTTGCATCCAGGCTTTGTGTATCTTTTTTGATAAAAATTAGTCAATTATTGCTATTTCTAAAACAAGTTATTATTCAACTTTATTGTTTAAAGAGTTGTTCATATATTGTGAATATTAACTCCTATCACATGTGATTTGCAAATATTTTTACCAGTGTCCTTTATTTTATTTTTTAAATTCTTTTTCTTATTTTTACCAGTGTCCTAAGAGGCATTGTCACCTATTGAATATTTTCTTTGATGTGTAAAAATTTTGATATATACTGCACTTAAGTGTTTCTTTTTTTTTGTTTGTTTGTTTTTAAAATTGAGACAAAGTCTTGCTCTGTTGCCCAGGCTGCAGTGCAGTGGTGCTATCTTGGCCCACTGCAACCTCTGCCTCCCTGGCTCAAGCAATTCTCCTGCCCCAGCCTCCCAAGCAGCTGGGATTGTAGGCATCCACCAGCGTACCTCGCTAACTTTTGTATTTTTGGTAGAGACAGGTTTTGTCATGTTGGCCAGCCTCAACATTATTTCGTGAGGAGGTTATCTTTTGTCTAGTCTGTGTTCATGGCAACTTTGTGGAGGGTGATTTGATCATATACAGAAGAGTCCATTTGTAGGTTCTCCAGTCTACTCTTTCATCTGTTTATCTGTCTTTGTGTCAGTACCACATTGTTTTTGTTATTGTAGCTTTTAATATGCTTTGAAATTAGAAAGTATAATGCCTCTATGTTCCTTTTTTTTTTTTTTTTTTTTGAGACAGAGTCTCACTGTGTTGTTCAGGCTGGAGTGCAGTGTTATGATCTCAGCTCTGCCTCCTGGGATGATTCTCCTACCTCAGCCTCATGAGTAGCTGGGATTACACACACCCACCACCACGCCTGGTTAATTTTTATATTTTTAGTAGAGTTGGGGTTTCTCCTTGTTGGCCAGGCCGGTCTCAAACTCCTGACCTCAAGTGATCCACCCATCTCAGCCTCCCAAAGTGCTGGCAATTACAGGCATGAACCACCACATCTGGCCCTCTTTGTTGCTTTATATGGGTGTTTGGCTATAGTTTAAAATCAAATTTTAAAATTCTAAACATTTTTTCTGTAAAAAAAAAAAAAATCTATGCTGTTGGGATTGTTATAGAGATTATATTGAATTTGTTCACCATGGTAATTTGTATTGACATCTTTGAAAAATTAAATTTTTTGACACCTGAGCAAGAAAATGTTGAAGAGTGTGTTTAATTTTTATATATATTTTGATCTGCCAGTTTTACTTTTGCTCTTAATTTTTAGTTTCATTCAGTTTTTCTCAGAAAACTAAATAATTTTGATCTTAAATTTGTTGTTGTTTTGGGACTCTGTCACCCAGAGTAAGATCCTGTCCCAAAGGAGTGCAGTGGCATGATATTGGCTCAATGCAGCCTCAGCCTCCTGGGCTAAGGCGATTCTTCCACCTCATTCTCCCAAATAGCTGAAACTACAGACGTGCACTGCCATGTCTGGCTAATTTTTTGAGTATTGTAGGGACAGGGTGTCACTATGTTGCCCAGGTTGGTCTCAAACTTCTGGCCACAAGTGATCCTCCTACCTTGGTCTGCCAAAATATTGAGATTATTGGCATGAGCCACTGCAGCCAGCTGGTATTCCTAAATTTAATAAGACTTGGTATATGTCCTAACAGAATATACCAGGTGCAAATTATAATACTGTGCTTTTTACTGGAGAGGATCTCTTGCTTTTGACTAGAAAGGTTTGTATGAGTCAGTTAAGCCTTGTTGGTCTATAATATGATTTGGATGTTCATGTTCTCAAAACCTGGACGGGCTGGCTCATTTTATTTTGCATAATGTCACTGAGTTCTAACTTTATAGTTGTTAGAATATTTCTTGCGTTTTAAAACTTGGATGATATTTTAGTATTTTTATTTTTCAAATTATATATACTGAATAATTTGGTGACAAATTTGTTTGCGTCTCCTATCGGCTTTAGTAACAATGTTGCAATAATTGTGGATATGCAAGTCATTCTACATCACCATACATGTAAAAGTGTATATATGTCCCGCATTCTATTTGATTAGTCCACTTTTTTTTTTTTTTTTTTTTTTTTTTTTTTGGGACAGAGTTTCGCTCTTGTTACCCAGGCTGGAGTGCGATGGCGCGATCTCGGCTCACCGCAACCTCCGCCTCCTGGGTTCAGGCAATTCTCCTGCCTCAGCCTCCTGAGTAGCTGGGATTACAGGCACGCACCACCATGCCCAGCTGATTTTTTGTATTTTTAGTAGAGACGGGTTTTCACTATGTTCACCAGGATGGTCTCGATCTCTTGACCTCGTGATCCACCCGCCTCGGCCTCCCAAAGTGCTGGGATTACAGACGTGAGCCACCGTGCCCGGCCGCAAGTTGGATTTTGATTCTTAAATTTTCAAGTAGCCGGGAGAGGTGGATCACGAGGTCAAGAGATCGAAACCATCCTGGTCAACATGGTGAAACCCCGTCTCTACTAAAAATACAAAACATTAGCTGGGCATGGTGGCGCGTGCCTGTAATCCCAGCTACTAAGGAGGCTGAAGCAGGAGAATTGCCTGAACCCAGCAGGCGGAGGTTGCGGTGAGCCGAGATCGGGCCATTGCACTCCAGCCTGGGTAACGAGAGCGAAACTCCGTCTCAAAAAAAAAAAAAAAAATTCAAATAAATCCCTTTATTGAAAGTACCTATCTTGATTGGAAAATTAATTATATATATATTTAAATAATTTTCTAAAGGAGAAAGACTAATATTATTCTATTAATTGTTGTATTTTATTTTATCTTTGTCCACTTTCTCTTTTTCTGTCTTTTTGATTTTTGTATTGATATGCTTTTATTTCTTATTTTCTTTTTTATTGAGATGGAGTTTCGCTCTTGTTACCCAGGCTGCAGTGCAATGGCGCGATCTTGGCTCACCGCAACCTCCGCCTCCTGGGTTCAGGCAATTCTCCTGCCTCAGCCTCCTGAGTAGCTGGGATTACAGGCACGTGCCACCATGCCCAGCTAATTTTTTGTAGTTTTAGTAGAGACGGGGTTTCACCATGTTGACCAGGATGGTCTCGATCTCTTGACCTCGTGATCCACCCGCCTCGGCCTCCCAAAGTGCTGGGATTACAGGCTTGAGCCACCGTGCCCGGCCTTGTTTTCTTTTATGTATCTATACAGATATTCTTTCTGGTGCCTTGGGGATTACATAAAACTTAAAAGATACAGCTATATATTTTAATCTGGTAAAAAATTAACTCAAGTTGCATACAAAAATTCTTCCTCATTGTATTTGCTTGCAAATTTGTTATTGATGCAGCTAATTATATCTTTTTATGTTGTATATTCATTAATATATGTTTGTAATAATTTCTATGCATTTATCTTTCAACTTTTAGAGAAAAATTAAAAATGTTTTCTGCACCATTATGGTAATGCTATGAAATTCTATATTTGGGTATGTGTGTATCTTTCCTAGAAAGTTAGTGTTGATATATGATTATGCGTTGTTTTATTGCATCATGTCATTTTCAGTAGAAGGAACTGCTTTCAGCACCTTTGATGTATAGGACATATGCAGTGCCAATATACTTTCTCAGGATTTAATTATTTTGGAGGGTCTTTTACTTTTTATTTGTTAGGACAGTTTTGCTGATGGTATTTTTCTCACTTCACTGCAGTTGTTTTTTTGTTTTTTTTTTTTTTTCCATGACTTTGACTATGTGAGACAGTCAGGCCTTTTGGCCTGCAAAATTCTTGTTCACAAATTCACTGGTTATAAGACTAAGCTTATAAATGACACATCACTTTTGTCTTGCCACTCCTAAGATTTTCTTCTTGTCTGTGACTTTTGAAATTGCTCTTATATATGAGTTTGATACAGATATCTGGTGTGTGTATCCTGGTTTGTTTGTTGAGCTTCTTCATATTTGTATCATTTTTGTGATTGCTTTCCGAACATTTGATAATGTTTCTGATGGGCCCATGCTGCCCTAATATTCTGTATACATTGTAATCTTTGACTGAGATTTGGAAATTGAAAACAAGTTATCTGTCACAATCTGTAACACAGCTTTGTCCTGGCATAGTCTGAAACTAATTGTTTCGGCTAGAGATTCTGTAAGTCTCTCAAACATGTTCTTAGAATGTATCTTGTCTAAAGTTTTGTGGGGTTTTTCTGTTTTGTTTTGTTTTTCTTGAAAGGAGTTTATTCATGTTTCTTCGTGTGTGTGTGTGTGTGTGTGTGTGAGTGTCTGTGTGTGTGTGTTTTAATGTCCAACGCCCACTCGGATCATGTTTCTTTTAATAGTCAGTAATCGTTTGCTACACCTCTTCCCTGTCTGTAATACTGCGGTCTTTGTGCTGCTGTACCATTTATCTTTGGCCTCAGCACGCTCAAACTGTTATTCCAAAGTATACCCCCATTTCTTTCAGCATTTTATGTCATAGGAAACTGAAACCAGTGTCTGGTCAGACCCCTAGAAGCCAGAAATTTAAATGTATGTGCTAATATTTTTCTGCTATTTTAAAATAGAAACCAGGAATTAGCAATTTACTTCTGAAGGCACTGTGTTATCTTAGGGAGCAGGAAGAGCTGTGCTAGGTAAATGTAATAGACTTTTCTTTTTTTTTTTTAAGACAGTCTTGCTCTGTCGCTCAAGCTGGAGTGCAGTGGTGTGATCTTGGCTCACTGCAACCTCCGCCTCCCGGGTTCAAGTGATTCTCCTGCCTCAGCCTCCTGAGAAGCTGGGATTAGCGCCACCACGGCTGGCTAAATTTTGTATTTTTAGCAGAGATGGGGTTTCACCATGCTGGTCAGACTGGTCTCAAACTTCTTACCTTGTGATATGCCCGCCTTGGCCTCCCAAAGTGCTGAGATTACAGGTGTGAGCCATCATACCCAGCTCTTTACATTGTGCTCACCTGTGGCACCGCACACACTTAACTCATTTATACATTTCCCACAAATGTATTTTGCCCATATGTTTTTGTTACATTTATATATTTATGAAGAAATTAGAACCTGTGGTGTTTTGATATGCTAGTTTGCTTATGTCATTTGTATGCCTTTGTAGGTTAGATTCATAAAGTATAAGGCCGGGTGCGGAGGCTCAAGCCTGTAATCCCAGCACTTTGGGAGGCCGAGGCGGGTGGATCACGAGGTCAAGAGATCGAGACCATCCTGGTCAACATGGTGAAACCCCGTCTCTACCAAAAATACAAAAAATTAGCTGGGCATGGTGGCGCGTGCCTGTAATCCCAGCTACTCAGGAGGCTGAGGCAGGAGAATTGCCTGAACCCTGGAGGCGGAGGTTGCGGTGAGCCGAGATCGCGCCATTGCACTCCAGC